AGTGGAAGTTTTCCACCCATGCTGCCTCCAAGCACCCTAACCTGTCTGGGATAATCATTATACCCAGACTCTAGCACCCACACGTTGCATCCCTGTAACAGGGTCCTCCCCAGAGGTGCTCACAAAGCCCCTGGAGCCCCCTTAGCCTTTGTTACCTCTGCTTTCCTTGGGGCCATCTCCCCTTCAACTCATCCACTGTGCCTTGCTGTAATTAAACTTTTTGAAGAGGGAGGCTGCCCCCTGGGCTCCCCAAGCCAGATCTCATGCTCATGAGTACAGGTGTCCCTGCTCATCACCTTAAGGACTAATTATGTGGCCTCCTCCTTGCCCCTTTTAGCCACACCCAAGTCTCACAGATGTTACCATGACTTGCTATGCTAGACCTGCATCCTCTGCCCCTCCTGGGCTCAAGCTTTGGTCTCCTTCCACCCCTGCCCAAGCACTTTGTCCATCTTGGCTACTCCCAGGTGAAGCCCTGAGCTTGTTTCCACCTCTGAGGCACTGGGCCACTGGCCCTGTCTCCATCCTCCTCTGGGCTGTGTGTCCCTGCCCCCGTCAGTCTCCAGCCATGACCTTCCTCAGCCTTTGACCTTCTCCCTGTTCCCTGGCCCCACTCCTAGGCCAGCTGAAACCTCCTGGGCTACAGGCTCCCTGGCCCTGTTCTTTCTCACCCCTCTTGGGCTCCAGGTCTCTGACCCCAGCGGTGGCCCAGGTCCCTATCCCACGGGCCCAGGCCCTACACTCCCAAGCCAGTTAAGACCTCCCCTCCACCACCCCTACCCTAAACCACCGGTCTTGCTTACCCCCAGCTCAGCATCAGTCAGGATCCTTGCTGTAGCCCTGCTGCTCAGGAGCTCTTCCCTCCATGGCTGTCAGGGCTAGACTACCTGCTCATCCCCAGCCCGGGGCTTTTATCCTGCTAGCCCAGCCCCTTTAGGGCATGTGGCTCCTAGTTGCCCCCTTGGCACATCTGCAGGCTGCTTCTCATGCAGCCTGCCTGCTCTTAGCCCAGCCAAGCCTCCTGCTGGAGTCCCCGTACCACAAAGCCAGTTGCCACGTTGCGTTTCAGATCCAATGCCGACTGTTACCAAGTGAGTCACAAGGCACTTGCTCTCTGTCTTTCCCTCTGGAGGTTTTACAGGAGCTCATTATTTCCCTTCCTCTAGTACAAACGAGGTGGGGACCATGCAGCCACCTGGCTGTGAATGAAGGATCAGGCCCCTGACTGGAAATGGGTGCTCCTTGGTCATTTTGAAGCCTGCTGCACTTGACAGATGCATGCCCTATGCGCTTTTTTTTTTTTTTTAGCTCTTATGCTAGGGGATATCTGAATCTGCATGGCAATGAGAACTGGGCCGGTGCTGTGATTAAAGGAGGGAGCCAGGAGAGCAAGGATCTGCCACAGATTTACTGTGTGAGCTGGGAAGGAGCCAAGGCTTCATCCTACAGCTCTTTTGTTCTGAGTGAAACCCTGCTCTCCCTTGGCTGGGGGTGGTGGGGGCTTCCTTCCCAGCTCTGCATCAGCTCAGACCCCGGGTGCAATGGAAAGGGGAGGCTGCCTTTTGAATGGTAGCCAGGTCTTTAGAGCCTAGGAAGGTGAGAGGCCTTGGGTACTTCCTCAGCCAGAGGGGGTTCAAACCCAGATCCCCCACTTTGACTGTGACCCCCTCAGCACAGTTGGGGTAGAGGCAACCTCATCCTGCCATTGAAAAAGAGCCAGGGGGGAACATAGAAAGCAAGATGTATAGGGCCAGAAGGAGAGAAAGACAAGGGACCCTGACTCTGCAGCTGAGGGCACTGTTTGGGATTGGGGAGCCCTTGGTTTTGGTCCCTACCCCAGAACTGGGGGTAAAATGCAAGGTCAGCCTGAGCTCTGAGACTGCTCCTTCCCAGCTAAGTGTCTAACCACTAGGCTGCAGCATCAGGCTCTCTCCTCCTGTCTCCTGAGGCTTTGCCCAGGGGTCTGGCTTCTCCAAAAGGAGTTTTCCAGCCTGTTGTGTTGTCAGGGACCAGGGTATGGGTGGTCATGGTAGGTCACCTGGGAGGTGAGACCAGGGTCCAGGGCTGAGATGCTGCGTCAGGGCTGGAGAACCAAGAACCTGAATCGGGGTTGAGCGTGGAGCAATGAGGGGCCAGGACCACAGCACTATGGCCTCTGCCCCACTGCTGCCTGCTCATGGGCTCATGAAGGTAGAGCCTCTTCCTGCAGTTTGGGGGTCAGCTCAGCCAAGCACCATGGAGGAACAGGAGCCCAGGCCCATCTGGCTCATTCTAAACACCTCCCTGCTCAGCCCCTGCACATGCTGGATCACTGTGCAAAGGCAGCTAGCTCCACCAAGGGGACCACCATAGGGACCCTGTCCATGTGGGTCACCTCCTGGGGCAAGACCCCCGAGCTCTACCTATGACCAGACCTATGCAGAGGTGCCTACAAGAGGGATCTGGCCCTAAGTGATTTGCCCAAGGTCACACAGGGAGTTGGCGGCAGAGACAAGAAGTGAGGCCAGGTCTCTGGAGTCTTGTGATCCTCAGTGCATGAGTGTGTGTGGGGGGGGGGGATGCGTGAGTACCCCAGCGATGGAGCTTGGAGAGACAGACAGATAGCTAGAGAGAGAGATAAGGTGCAGACAGACAGATAGATGTGCAAATACACCTCAGCTGATTCTCCCTCAAGCCATTGCCAAAAATCTTACACCAAAGAAATGAGCGACCCCCTTGGTCCCATCCATGTGGCCGCTGATCATTGGTACCCAGCATTTGCCCCGTCTGCAGTTATGCCCCTTTATAAATTCATTGTGCATCCACACCTTGAATAATGTGCCCAGTCCCCACACCTCAAAAAAGATATAGGAGAAACAGAGAAGGGCAACAAGGATGATCAGTAGTATGGAGGGTCTTCCATATGAGGAAAGACTAAAGAGGTTAGGCCTATTATTTCAGTTTAGAAAAGAGTCACTTGAGGGGGGACATGATAAGGGTTTACAAAATGCTAAATGGTGAAGAGAAAGTCAACAGGGATTTACTATTTATGGTCTCTCACAATACAAGAACCAGGGGTTACAACATGAAACTAGTAGGTAGTCTGTTTAAAACTAACAAAAAGTTCTTTTTTCCCCACAATGTGGAAATAAAGTTGCTGCCAGATGTGGCGCCAGACGTGGTGGAAGCTGACAGCTTAGCCAGATTCAAAAAGGACTTGGACATGTGCTTGGAGGAAAGGGGCATCAGCCGCTACAGAGCAGGGAGTGAGGGGCACAGCTTCTGCATTAGACTTTCCTGGACCTTAAATGCTGGAGGCTGCAAGTGAGAGAGGAACAGTGGGAAAAGTCTTGCTCAGACCCAGTTCACTCTCCCTTTCAGCATCTACCCTCTGCCCCTGTGTGACACAGGAGAGGGGCAAGATGGACCTATGGTCTGACCCGGTACACGGCAGCTCTTCTGTTCTTATGTAAAAATCCCAGTCTCCAAGCGGCTGCCCTCCGCGGCCACCCCGGCGGGTTGCTGGCCCTGCTGGCTGAACAGCTGGGCAGGTCTGCGGTAGCCAGGAACGAGCCAGACGGGTGAGCACATTCTCCGGCATGACTTACCCTGGGAGGAGGCAGGGTGATTTTTGCAAGCTGATTCCAGAAAGCAGGTGGCTGGGAGTGCCGGCTATGGGCATTGCTACTGGGTGGGGATCGCAGCCACCACAGGTCCCGATCCTGAACCTCTCCTGCACACAAACACCTCCTTGACTCACAGCACCTCTGTATCCCATGACCAGACTTAAACATGAATCCAATATCTGCCTTCCCACCACTGACTCAGCTGCCCTGGACACCAACCAGACCCAGAGCCCCACTTGCTCAGCCCACGCTGCCTGTCCGGCTGCACCAGGGAGAGAACAGAAGCGGATGGAAAATGCCTCTGGTTTCTGTGCACCTGGACTTAGGGTAGTCCCGGGAGAGGTCAAATGCATGTGCGTGGGGCAGACCTGTAGTGTGACTCCTAGCTGGCTCTGCACACTCAGTGTGGACTCTGGGACCTCTTGAGAGGGCACCGGAGCCTGGACACAGCAGTGATGGATGCATTAGCAAGTGCATGGAGCTGTACAGAAGGTTTTTCAGGCTGTCTGTGATTTAGGGGTCTTGAAAGGAGGCAAGCAGCATCCTTTTAAAAATATGTCTATTGTTTGTCCAAAGAGTCATCTCGCTTTTTAAGCTGTATGCCCTTTGGATTTACTAAAGAAGCCTGCGGCTTTGGGCGTGCACACAAAATCTCTGGCTCAGCAATTTCCCCAGGGTTGGAGAGGGGGGTGGGGCAGAATCCGTGCCCAAGTGTGGCTTTCCTCCTTTGCTGCTCAGGACACCAGGTTTTGCTAGTGCAAGGATATCCCAGGCTTCAGTGAGCCAAGCCACCATGCTGGGAACCCAGGCATCGTGCCACCAAGCCGCACCGGAGCCTTGCTGTGATCAATAGGAAACTTCATGTCCACATTTCCCTCTAATGACCTCATCCACATTGTTTCTAGCCTTTGTGGGAGCAGAACAGATCCCTGGTCCACTTGTGACAGATTTCGTGCTCTGCTGGGAGCACAGATCATTGAATTCATCCTTGCCAAGCCTGTGGAGACGGGAAGGGGTCGGGAGTCCTCAACTGAAGCAGATAGAAACACCCTGCACTGGGCGTTTTGCTCATTCAGTCCTTGAGCTATTGACTCTGTTAAAGGTATAAAATTAATAAAGCAATGGACACAAGCAGGACTGTGCAGGCTGGAAACAGGGGTGTCTGCACCTTCTGTCATTGCATCCTAGAAAATGAGGGTGGGAAGGGACCTCAGGAGGTCACATCTAGTCCAACCCCTGCTCCAAGAAGGACCAGCCCCAACTACATCATCCCAGCCAAGGCTTTGTCTGCCCGGGTCTTAAACACCTCCAAGGATGGAGACTGCACAGCGTCTCTCTGAAGGATCCCAGCAGAATGATGCAGCAAATCACTTAACTCATCACCTCCAGGGTGTGATGGAGCAGCTGCATAACAGCACAGTGCAGCACAAAGCCGCAGTTTGGGAGATGGAGCAGGTGATACGAATGGCCAGACCTAGCCGTAAGCCCAGCAGGGAGGATTAAAGACCCCAAATGGTGACCTCAGGTCTGAGGGTCACCAAACAGAAGTGTCCGGAGGGGGCTGGGCCTGCCCGGTGCCCTCTGGAGAGGGGGTGCGGAGCGGGGCCTGGTCGGCGGCTGACCCACCGCTGGCACTCGGTGTTTCTTCGCGACCTTCTCGGGCCTCTTCGCCGGCCATCTCGGTGCATTTTACAACCGTGCTGATTAGCAGCCTACCTGCAATGTGGGGAGGCCGCGTCAGACACAGTCGGAAGTGACTTGCCCGAGGTAACACAGTGAGTCACCGGGAGAGCCAAGAATAGTCCCCGAGATGCTGCCTTACCTCCCATTCACCTTGCGGTAGCTTCCCCCCGCTGAGAGCATGGAGACACGGCGGGCCCGGCACTGTGCATGAACCCGCAGACGTGCTCCTCACAGCGAGGGCTGCAGACATCACACACAAGTCCGGATTTCGCCGCTCAGAAAACCCACCCGGCCACCAGCTTTGCCTCAACGCGGTTGAGGCCCTTCAGCTCTCTGTGCCTCAGTTTCTCCACCTGTAAAATCAAAAAGCATCTTGCTGCCCATCTTGCTGGGGTCATCTGATCCCAGCGGTCTTTCCTGCCCAAGTGCAGGGGGCTGGACCCAATGATCTGTCAGGTCCCTTCTGGCCGCCAGCAATTATGAAACTATGAAAATGGGAATGATGATAGTCCTCCCCGCCCAGCATCAGCATGCTGAGACTGACTGAAGAAGGCTACTAGGCAAGATCTAGGTGCATCTTTTGTGCTCCCTATGTCATGTGAAGATCTGATCTTGTTCAAAATCCCACCAGAGCTTTTAAAATCAGTCCAAGGGGGTCCAAGGCCCACAGCCCCTGGGGCAAAATGCCCCTTCCCGTCCTACGCTGAGGAGCTGGGATCTGCAGGGTGAAAGTTTGCAGTCCAACACCCCAGCCCAGCTCTGGCATCACCCCTCCCAGCTCCAACCCAGAGTGAATTAAGGGCTCGAGCATCAGGGTTCATGTTTCCTGCTCCTGGCACAGCCCCATAAATTCTGCTTCCTCTATAGTGAAGCATGGGATGGGAAGAGTCCACCTGGATCATCAAGTTTATCCCCCTGCATCGGCATGCTCAGGTGAGCCTGGCAAGCAGAGCATGCCCCGTGCCGCAGAAGGGGATGAAAAACTCCACTGCTCCCACTTAGTCTGACTTCCGGGGAACTCGGCCTCAGTCCTGCGGACAAAATCCCCTCTCTCCCATCTCAAGCGGGGACTAACTTCTGCTGCTTCAGTGGAGCACCAAAAATAAAGATACAGGAGTGAAGTCACACATCAGGAGGGGGAATATGTCTTCCTGTCCCAGCAGGTGACCGGCCCTGAAGCCAAGGATCAGTGCGTGAACTGCAATCTCATGCCACAAGTCGTCTAAGCAATGCCAGTTATTCAGGGGTAGGGGATGAACCTGCTCCAGGAAGCACCATCATAGCTCCCCACCCCAATCGTCCCTACCTGCACACACAGGGCACCCAGTTCTCTACAGCCATGTCCTCGAAAAGGCATCAGGCTCACGCAAGGATCCCAAGCAATGACAAGCAACACTGCTCTGATCTGCCCCTCTCCTTGGGGGCTGGGTCTCACCCTGAGACCCATTTCTCTGAGCTGGATAAGGAGCACAGTCCAAGAGCCCCCTGCCACAGACACCTCCCTCATGCGCTAGCAGCCACTTAGGGTGATCCCCTTCCTTCCAGCCCCCCTCTTGGGGACACCACCTAAAATTCATCTCCAGGATCACCCTGACCCCATTACATGTCCCCTCCCATGACTTTATCACGCTCCTTCTTGACACAAATATAAGCTCTCATAGGTGAGTGACAAAATATCTAGCCAGCTGGCACACTTAGCAGACTGGTGCATGGCATCAAGTTGGGTGGAGATGCAGACGCCCTGGAGGGAAAAGGATCCAGAGTACCCTGGATAGACTGGGAAAATGATCCACCCTCAGATCAGATGAGATTCAACAAGTGCAAAGGCCTGTACTTAGGATGAAATAATTGCACGCGCAAGTGCGGACTGGCTGGGCTGCCGGACTGCAGAGAAAGACCCAGGTGACGTCCGCAAGCTGAACAGGAGCCAAATGTGTGCTCTTGGTGCCAACAGCCGGGTGTATCAACGGGAGTGCAATCTCCATCTGCAGAAGTTGTCAAGGGCTCTCCATCACTGGGGCTGTTCAAGAAGAGGTTGGGGGATGATCTAGGCATGGCTGAGCCCCTGCTCTTCTATGGCTGTTTCTATGGACTTTGATGGTTGCCCCCCTGCCCCCGCTTTCTGCTACACGTGTCAGGGTGTTTGCAAGCCTTTCTCTGAAGCGTTGGGTGTTGGCTGCTGCCCAGGCTGGGGGCTCTGACCGCTCCTGTTGGGACCAAAGCCAGAGATGCCTGTCTAGAGGGTCTTGCCCCTCCACTCAGGGTCAAACTGATGCCATATTTGGGGTCAAATTTTACCCCATGGTCAGACTGGTACGGATGGTGGGAGCGGGGGGAGGTTGCCTTCCTCTCTAGCAGGGGGCATGGGATCTCTTGGGCATATATTGACAAGTCACAGCTGCCCTGGTCCCTCTGCTTTCCCTGCGGCAGGTTGCATCCTGTCAGGGGCTTACGTAGTATTTAGATGACAGATTATATAGGATGGTTTGGACAGGGCTGATCCTGCCTCGCGCAGGGGGTTGGAGTAGATGTGACCCCCGACATCCCTTCCGGCCCGCGTTTTCTATGACTTGCCTCCCAGCCCCACTTGCCCCAGCTTCGGTGGCGTCTCAAGCCCCAAACTGAGATGGGGCATGTCCAGCCAGGAAGGTTGTTTTCCAAACGTTGCCGTGCGGAAATCCCCGCAGACTCCGAGCGGGTCGGTTCCAGCTGGGAATGAGATCCCCGTTTCTCTCGGGTCGGGGTTTGCTTTGAACGGGCAGGTGAAGCCAGACCTGCCCCTTCTCCCCTGCCCCTGGGGCAGCCGGACAGGGCAGAGCGGGGCTGTTTTTCAGTGCTCCTCCTCGAAGCCTGTGGATCCCCGGCCTGCGCCGGCAGCAGGAGGGCTGGGCAGGGCGGGGGATGCCAGGCGGCCAGGGGGAGGGCTCGACCCCCGGGATTCAATCCGTGCGCCCGGGAGAAACACGGCGAGTGCAAGCCCTGGCTGGCTCGCAGGGAGCCGGGCTGCGGCTCTGCAGCGGGTGCAGGAGGGCTCCGGGCGGCGGCTCGGGGGATCCAGCTCGCGTCTCCGGAGCCGCGCGAGTATTTAAAGCTCCCCCCGCGCCCCGTGTGTGCGCGCGCGCGCGCATACCCCCTGCATTCACACGCACGCGCCTGTGGATGTGCGTGCACGTGCCTAGATGCGTGCGGGTGCAGGACCCGAGAGAAGCGGGGCTGGGACCTCCAGCGGTGTCACGTCCAGTCCGGGATCGGCCCCGTCCGACCCCGCCGGGAGATACACCGGTAGCAGGGACACGCGGTCACCCCCAGCCCGCGCCGCTCCTGCGACACGGGAGGTCGGGCAAGGCGGCCGCGGGTGCCAGCGGGCGACGCCCCGGCTCCCCCGCCCCGTACGTGTAACACAGACACCTCTCCCCGCGCCCTTCAGTCCCTGTGCCCATCTCTCTGCCCGCCTCCATCCCTGCCCTGCCCTGCCCTGCCCTCTCCCGACCCGCACGGCTACGGACAGGTGGCGAGGATACCTACCTACCCCCCCCGGCGGGCCCGGGGCCGGGGCAGCAGCGCCGCTGACGCGGGCGGGGCGGGCGCGTCACAAGGAGAGATTTCCTTATTGGGGCTCCCCGCCCCACATCCTGAGTCCATGTTTGGGCATTTACGTCAGCGCCCGCCCCCTCGGGGACTCCAGAAATGGAGCGGCGCGGCGGGCGGAAGAGCCGCGCGGCGGCGGCGGCTATAAAAGCGGCGGCGCGGAGCAGGGGCTGC